CATGGGTTCTTCTAAGCAGTTGTCTAGAAAACTGAAACTGAAAATAGTTGACGCTCACAAAGCTGGAGAAGGCTATAAGAAGATAGCAAAGCGTTTTCAGATGTCAATATCCTCTGTTCGGAATGTAATTAAGAAATGGCAGTCATCCGGAACAGTGGAAGTTAAAGCAAGATCTGGAAGACCAAGAAAAATATCAGACAGAACAGCTCGCAGGATTGTGAGAAAAACAATTCAAAACCCACGTTTGACTGCACGATCCCTCCAGAAAGATCTGGCAGACACTGGAGTTGTGGTACACTATTCCACTATAAAGAGATACTTGTACAAATATGGTCTTCATGGAAGAGTCATCAGAAGAAAACCTCTTCTACATCCTCACCACAAAAATCATCGTTTGAACTTTGCAACTGAACATATAGACAAGCCTGATTCATTTTGGAAACAAGTTCTGTGGACCGATGAGGTTAAAATTGAACTTTTTGTCCGGAATGAGCAAAGGTACGTTTGGAGAAGAAGGGGCACAGAATTTAATGAAAAGAACCTCTGTCCAACTGTTAAGCATGGGGTTGGATCAATCATGCTTTGGGGTTGTGTTGCAGCCAGTGGCACAGGGAACATCTCACGAGTAGAAGGAAAAATGGATTCAATAAAATTTCAGCAAATTTTGGATGGTAACTTGATTCCATCAGTGAAAAAGCTGAAGTTAAAGAGAGGATGGCTTCTACAAATGGATAATGATCCTAAACACACCTCGAAATCCACGGGGGATTACATCAAGAGGCGTAAACTGAAGGTTTTGCCATGGCCTTCACAATCTCCTGACCTCAACATAATTGAAAATCTATGGATAGACCTTAAAAGAGCAGTGCGTGACAGACAGCCCAGAAATCTCAAAGAACTGGAAGACTTTTGTAAGGAAGAATGGGCAAAGATACCTCAAACAAGAATTGAAAGACTCTTTGCTGGCTACAAAAAGCGTTTACAAGCTGTGATACTTGCCAAAGGGGGCAGTACAAGATATTAACTCTGCAGGGTGCCCAAACTTTTGCAGACGCCATTTTTTTGTTTTCTGTTATTTTGAAAGTGTAAATGATGGAAATAAAATCTAACTTTTGTTGACATATTATAAGAATGTCTAATCTGTAATTTGATGCCTTTTGGAGATTTTTCCATCTTTCCTTGGCTTCTTTATGCACATTAATACAAAAATTTTTAGCTGGGGTGCCCAAACTTTTGATCCCCACTGTATATATATATATAAAATTTATTTTTCTAAATCAACGAAACCAATAAATTCAATAAATATATCAAATAAATTCAATAAATAAATTCAAATAAATATATCAATACGTGAAGTGAACAATCCTTGACCACCTCACACTAGTGGGATTAAAGGCAATTACCCTCTTGGAGTAACAACAAGCATCTCTGGATATGTAATCGCTTAACAGCTTCCATCCACCATGCAGATAGTAGACTTTCAGCTTCCCCCATTCCTCAGAAGGTAAAGAAGAGATCCATCTAGTAATTGGATAAGATATATATGAAGAAATTTAATACAATGCTTACATTAGGGACTACTTAATCCTTCAGACCAGTCCCAGCAGTTTGTAATGCAAAAAAAAACACATTCTCCAATACTCAAAATGGCCACGCCGCTACTTCCGGTTTGGCGTCAGACGTGTTTTCTGATGCGTTTAGTCACTTTTTTTGTGTGTGTGTTGATTTTCACATTTGCAGGAGCGTACATGGAGTGAAAATTTTCTTTGCACGTCACTCACGTTGTATATATTCATTTTCACATAATAATGATTTTAAAAATCTGAAGATAATACACTATTTCAGTTTCATTCTTTTTGAGGTACTACAGGATCTGGACTGGTGAATAAGTTGGATACACAATTTTTTGGAAGATTATTGATATTTTGGACACTATTTTAATATTTGGATTTTCTTTAACACTTTAATTTTTGGACTTGTGTTATTTATAGTGGTTTATTTTATTTTATTATATAATTATTTTTCACTACATAGTGGGTATTATACATGAGATAGGGGTTTGAGTCCATTTAGAGAAAAGATTTGATTTATATATTTACTTTCAAGGGTGAAAGTGTGACTTTTCTTGGGTTTATCTAGTGAGAGTTTATCTATTTTATACACCTGAGCAAGCTGTCACTGTACTGGGCCAATCATAACCATCCATAACATTCTCTGCCCCACAGCCACATGTATACATGCCCATTGTATATGTCCGGTTGCAGGGTGGGGGATTCCCCGACCACAGATGACTGGCCCAGTGCAGGAGACAGCTTCCTGCCGTGGTTGCTAAGGTGAGTTCGGTCTAGGACCATAACATGCCCTAGCTCATCACTATTTGAAATCTCTGCCACTTGTAAATTATTTTCTTTACAATGGAATTATTGTTTTTAAATAATTTGATTATCTTTTTAAATTCCTTGCCAGATTCCTAGGTGTGCGCCGCCATTTTATGTTGTTTGATCCAGCATGTGGATGAATGATCTGGAATGTCTTCCTCTTTTATTGAAATATAGTAATTCGGTGCCGCGCTAATAATTAATCCTTTGAATCAAAATAAACAGAACATTTCACAGAAAGAGCATATAAATCTCAAAATAAATATAGAATAGAATGCACATGAAAATCATATATAACCGTGAAACCCCCAAAGGATCACCATAAATAGGTGACTAATGAATATCAAGATATATAGAATACAATGCACATGATAATACAAAATCATATATGACAGTGAAACCCCCAACATATATCTAAGGTGTAACCTAAGTACACCCTAAATCGGTAATTTATAAGTGACAATCCTTTAACAGTGAAAAATTAGAGATAAAATAGAATCCCACCACTACTGTGCTAAATTGCACAAAATAACTGGTGAGGTGAAAAAGATCTACCAGAAAAAAACACTTATAATGCTCATAGGTGAAAAAGGAAATTATTTGAAAAAAGTGGTTATTCATGAAAAACCACAAAGCTAGATCGTCACAACATAATTTGTAAACACAACATCCAAATTCAACAGATAAATGACTGATAAAGAAAGTGGACCTGGACCCTCTCCTACAGGCGCAAGGTCCAACACAGAGTCAATCCCCTTCAGGAAGTGAGGGAAAATCCCTGGAAATTAAGGGAATTCCTTGGGTACCCCCAGGTCACCAGAAATTGGGGTCCCCTATTGGAAAATTTACCCTCTCTTACTTTTCTGGGGACAACCCACAATTTGGGGTTTCTTTTACTTTCACTTTTGATGATAATGGTAAACAGGACAAACAGGGAAGGGTGAATCTCCCTAACGTGGGCACAGGCAGAAATAAAAACCTGACAAGGGTTCTAATCCATCTCCACTCTATCCATAACTAAAAAAAGTTTTGCCTCTAATCATACTGTAACACCTCAATAATATGACTTTATGCTCTGGCTTATTGTAGTACAATAGCAAAATAATATTTATATTTCTAGTATGTGCCTCACATAAAACACTTGGTGTTTTGGAGAGTGACGGGTTAACTGTATAAATAAAAACTACTGTGATCCCTGCGCTTTTGGCAAACTACAAAAAATTAATAAAACCAGGCAGGGGCACAAACAATATCTACACACAGATATTGAAAAGGTATTAAAAGAAAGATGATGTTGCTCTATCCCTTTAAATTGTGTAATCGCAAATAACAAACTTAAAATGCATTAACACCAATAAAATATTGGAGTTGTGCAAATCCAATGCAAAAAGTGACATGAGCATAAATAAATACAACAAACAAACTGCAGCTTTATAAAAAAAAATTCATATATGTGTAAAGAAAGTCCATATATTATTAGATAGAATTTATACAGCGCCAACAGTTTGCTCAGCGCTTTACATAATACAGTAACGATACAGTTCAAAACAAGAGGGATTTGAAGGCCCTGCTCCTTGGAGCTTACAATCATATAAAAAAGTAATAAAGAACAGTTCATATTGAAAAAAATCCAACATCAGTTAATGTAATATATTGTGCAATGCCAAGAAACTGATATAAAGTGCTGCCAGTGACACTTTCCTCCACAAAACAAAGACCATACCCTTCTTATCAGATGCTAAGATCTTTTAACTATATGAAGTCAAATGCGTTTCCCTGTCTTAATGGGACGGTCAACATGGCAGCATGGAAAAGGCCCCTCTGGCCACATTCCTCCAATCCTCAGATGGAAGCCACAGTATCAGTATATCATGGCCGTATCTGAAAGAAAATGCTCCACATAGTGTAATCCAGTAAAAACTTCCCTGTTTTGTAAGTAAAATAACATACTCACAAAGATAGAGAATAACAAGCCACATGGAGGCTTACCAACGCGTTTCATCATAATTGACGTCATCAGGAGACAAGAACAATCTGTTCATCACTACTCATACATGCATAATGTGTGTATGTTGCTTGTTTTCCTCAGTCTTTGTGACTCTGTCTCTACCTTTGTGACTTTGCATCTCTCAAACGGAGGCTGGCTGTAGCTGGTTGCCGAGGTAGTCAACTATGGGCAGGCTATACAGTATGAAGGTAGAAGGAGTCTCTGGTATGGATGTCCAGGTAGCAGCAGTAGTCCCAGAGATATTTATTAGTACTGCCCCAATCAAGATGGTCGGAGAGGGTCACTGAGGTGTGAAAGTGTCCCCTCAGACTGCTGCTCTCCCTTGTGACACCTAATGGAGGCTGCAGGGGAACATCATTCCCCTTAGGACTCCATTCCACCCCGAAGCAGCAAGGCGTGACCTACTGCATGGAGCAGAAACTACACCTGCTAAGAAGTTGCAATATAAGGCATACCTCGGTTTACGAATGCCTTGGTTAATGTAATTTTGGGTTTACAAATGAAAATCCACTGAAAATAATGGCTCGGTTTACAAATGTTTTTTGCATACAAACGGATTACCGTATTTTTCGCTCCATAAGACGCACTTTTTTCCCCCCAAAAAAGGGGGGAAAATGTCAGTGCGTCTTATGAAGCGAATAAGGAGTAGCGGGTCCGGTATTTCCACCGCCGCCGTGTTAGAATACCGGGCCGGCCGGCCGCTCAGCTCTGCAGCGGGACCTTATGGAGATGACTGCTGACCTTTGGGGAGGTGGGGAGCGGGTACCTGAATTTGACAGGTACCCGCTCTTACTTCCGCGGAGTTGTTCTTTGACCTTACCTGTTCCTCTATCCAGCGGCGCGCTGTCTTCCCGGCTTCTGTAGTGTGGGCACTGGGCTTGACAGCCGGGTGCCAAGTGCGCATGCGCAAGAAGCGGTGCTTTTTGTGAATGGTAAGGCGGTACCTGGGACACATGACAGATCCCAGAAGCCGCCGGACCAATCACAAAGCGCAAGTGCTTCTCGCTCATGCGCACTGGGCATCCGGCTGTCATGCTGAGCGCCCACACTACAGAAGCCGGGAAGACAGCGCGCCGCTGGATAGAGGAACAGGTAAGATGAAAGAACAACTCCGCAGAAGTAAGAGCGGGTACCTGTCAAATTCAGGTACCCGCTCCCCCCCCTCCCCAAAAGTCAGCAGTCATCTCCTGTGCTGTCCGCAGTCTCTGGTCATCCCTGTACTGTCCGCAGTCTCTGGTCATCCCATATACTGTCCGCAGTCTCTGGTCATCCCTGTGCTGTCCGCAGTCTCTGGTCATCCCTGTGCTGTCCACAGTCTCTGGTCATCTCCTGTACTGTGTCTGCAGTCCATTAGTTCAGAATTTTTTTTTCCTGTTTTCTGCCTCTAAAACCTAGGTGCGTCTTATGGTCAGGTGCATCTTATGGAGCGAAAAATACGGTAATTGGTTTTCAATGCATTTACAATTTTTTTTTAATTATGTCCCTGTACAGTATTTATGCCTTTGAAGTGCACTTTATAAAGAGTTCTGAACAGATAGACTCTTTTGTCGTTTTTCTGACCTCCGGAATGGATGAATTGGTTTTCAATGCATTCCTATTGGAAACCGCGTTACAGTTTACGTATTTTCACAATATGAAAAGTCCCACAGAATGCATTAAATCCGTAAACCGAGGTACGCCTGTATTATATTTTTGTCCTTGGGATTAGATGTGCTTTACTTTTTTTTTGCAAAATAAAATGAAAATTGATTTTAGTTTTCTTTTAAAGATTTTACACAGCTGAGTTTTGGCAAGCGATTTGATGAATTTGAGCATAACAATGTTCAGGCTGTGTTGGGGTTATCATCAACGTGATAACAAGAGCTTCCAAGACATGTTTGTTTTCACACAGAAAGATTTTTAGACACATTGGAAAGTTTCTGTGTAAAGAACAGGAAAAGGAAACAGAGAGTGAGATAGAAGATAGTGAGCGAGGAATGGCAGATAATTCATAACATTCATCATTCTTTGGGAGCCTGTGGAGGAAGGGTCCTATTTATTATCTCTATGTTGGTATTCTCCAGGCATACATGGCTCACATCTATTACTTAACCACTTGTCTACTGAAGTATATTTATAAAAGTCATGGTCGACGAGTGGCCAAATCAAGGTCACAGCTGCAGCAATTGTGAGCTCAATACCAGCTTTAAAAGCTGGCAGAGGGCTTTCAGATGAAAGTGATTGGGTGGCTCTAGAGCTGCCTGATCACTTCTACAGGTCTCTCAAAAAGGAGCCCACCCTCCCCGTCAGCTGTGGGACTGTAGGAAACTGGTTTCCCAGAGACTGAAGGAGGAACTCAAGAAAACATCCATTTCCTAACTCCTCCTGTGACTTACCCAGCAATGGGACGTGTATTATGTCACTTTTGGGACTACAACAAAATAGCGCCTGTCCGCACATAGGCACAGGCTTACTATGTATATAAAGTAATAAAAAAGAGTGTAAAGTGGCTTCAGCTAATGGCCTCAACTCATGTAAAGCTCCTGTGATGTGTTTCGCCCTATTTGGGGCCTAATCCCAGCAGTGAAAAATTTGCTTTGGCTGGCCAGTGGAGGGGTACTCTTAGAATACTGAAAAGAGATGGGGGACTCGGGTGAGTATAAATTACTTTACCAGGTAAGGAAAATTTTACTCTAGGAAGGATGGGATAGAGGACGGTGGGAGGAAGGGATGGCAAAAATGCATTTTTAGGGTGGAGCTGGGCTTTAAATTTATTTGCCCACAACTTACCTGAATTTACGAGGAGTCCATCTGTTCCCAGCAGTTCAAATTCTGAGCCAATACCTAAGAAGCTTTCTGAAGTTTCGTATTTTTTAGTATTGTGTACAACCTCAATTTCAAAAAAGTTCAGACACTGTGTAAAATCTACATAAAAAGAGATTGCAATGATATGCAAATCTCATAAACCCATAAATTATTCACAATAGAAAATTGAAAACATATTAAAGGTTTAAACTAAGAAAATGTATCATTTAAGAAAAAGAATGTAGTTTTGAAATTGATGGCAGCAACACGTCTCAAAAAAATTAGGACAGGGCAACAAAAAGCTGGCAAAGTGATACTAACAAGGAAGAGCTGGAAGAAAATTCTGCTACTAATTAGGTTAATTGGCAACAGGTCAGCAACATGACTGGGTATGAGCAGAGCATCTTAGAGAGTCAGAGAGTGTCTCAGAAGTAAAGATGGGCAGAGATTCACCAATCTGTGAAAACATGCTTCTTATTTTTCTGTAGTGGAGAACAAAAACAGAGCGCACAAACCTTGCGCATTACCTCAGTAAACAATTAGATTTATTGATTTAGGAGATATACTCACAAAAGTAGTAATAAAACAGGCATATAAAATCCAAAAGTGCACACGATAAGGAGACACATGTGAATCCCATCTGAAAGGGAAATTCTCAGAATGATGCTGATTGCGTTTGGAAGGGGGGGGGGGGGGTCCCTTCTTCATAATTTTTCTGTCTCTGTCCTCCATGAGCTCCCAAAGCTCTCCTTTTCTCTCTCACTTCCATTTGTTTTTGAAAGAGCAGTGCATATTAGTAGTGGTTGTTTGTACTGCACACTACAGATCTCATAGTCCATGCCCTAGTCCATCTCAGGAGTCAGCAAAAGAGGGTGGCTATGTTCCTACATACAAAGGGACCATGAACAACGAACATTGCTACCCTGTAACAGGAGGTTAAATCACAGAAACAAAGTGGAGATTTGTTAAATATACGTATCAAACAGAAAACCCCTTTCAACACGGATCAGAATCCAGGAACAAATCTTTTCTTTTAACAGCTGTTTGCTGAGCGGAATGAAATACAAATCAATACAAAATATTTCAACTTCCATAATAAATTCATAATGTACTTCTCATAATAAAAACTGATAGCTGACTATCTGCATTCTGTCATCTAAGACAAGGTTTATATCCACTCTCCAACATGCACACAGACAGTTCACCGCCAGTTCTCTGCTTTGTTTAAAGTGGTTGTAAAGGCTGAAGGTTTTTTACCTTCATGTACTGTGTGCATGAAGGTAAAAAAACTTCAGTATGCAGCTCCCCCACAGCCCCCCAATACTTACCCAAGCCTGATCATGATCCAGCAATGTGCACGGGAGCAGCTGGATGAGAGACAGCAGAGGCAGCCATTGCGGCTTGGAGGGAGTGAGGCCAAGCCCCATTCTGTGTATCTTATGGGCTCCGGCACAGGAGTGAGCACACATGAGTGCCCCCAGAGCAAGTGGCTTGCTGTGGGGGCACATGGATAAGAGGAGGAGCCAGGAGCGAGGGGACCCGAGAGGAGGAGGATCGAGGCTGCTTTGTGCAAAATCACTACATAGAGCAGGTAAGTATAACATGTTATATATATATATATATATATATATATATATATATATATATATATATACAGTGGGGATCGAAAGTTTGGGCACCCCAGCTAAAAATTTGTATTAATGTGCATAAAGAAGCCAAGGAAAGATGGAAAAATCTCCAAAAGGCATCAAATTACAGATTAGACATTCTTATAATATGTCAACAAAAGTTAGATTTTATTTCCATCATTTACACTTTCAAAATAACAGAAACAAAAAAAATGGCGTCTGCAAAAGTTTGGACACCCTGCAGAGTTAATATTTTGTACTGCCCCCTTTGGCAAGTATCACAGCTTGTAAACGCTTTTTTGTAGCCAGCCAAGAGTCTTTCAATTCTTGTTTGAGGTATCTTTGCCCATTCTTCCTTACAAAAGTCTTCCAGTTCTTTGAGATTTCTGGGCTGTCTGTCACGCACTGCTCTTTTAAGGTCTATCCATAGATTTTCAATTATGTTGAGGTCAGGAGATTGTGAAGGCCATGGCAAAACCTTCAGTTTACGCCTCTTGATGTAATCCCCCGTGGATTTCGAGGTGTGTTTAGGATCATTATCCATTTGTGGAAGCCATCCTCTCTTTAACTTCAGCATTTTCACAGATGGCATCAAGTTACCATCCAAAATTTGCTGAAATTTTATTGAATCCATTTTTCCTTCTACTCGTGAGATGTTCCCTGTGCCACTGGCTGCAACACAACCCCAAAGCATGATTGATCCAACCCCATGCTTAACAGTTGGACAGAGGTTCTTTTCATTAAATTCTGTGCCCCTTCTTCTCCAAACGTACCTTTGCTCATTCCGGCCAAAAAGTTCAATTTTAACCTCATCGGTCCACAGAACTTTTTTCCAAAATGCATCAGGCTTGTCTATATGTTCATTTGCAAAGTTCAAACGATGATTTTTGTGGTGAGGACGTAGAAGAGGTTTTCTTCTGATGACTCTTCCATGAAGACCATATTTGTACAAGTATCTCTTTATAGTGGAATAGTGTACCACAACTCCAGTGTCTGCCAGATCTTTCTGGAGGGATCGTGCAGTCAAACGTGGGCTTTGAATTGTTTTTCTCACAATCCTGCAAGCTGTTCTGTCTGATATTTTTCTTGGTCTTCCAGATCTTGCTTTAACCACTTCCTGTCCGGACACTTTTACCCCTTCCTGTCCAGGGCAATTTTTAGCTTTCAGCGCTATCACACTTTGAATGACAATTGCGCGGTCATGCAATACTGTACCCATATGAATTTTTTACCATTTTTTTGAGACAGATAAAGCTTTATTTTGGTGGTATTTATTCACCGCTGGGATTTTTATTTTTTTTTTTTTGTAAATGAAAAAGTTCAAAAATTTTGAAAAAAAGTGTTTTTTTAAATAAAATTTTGCAAATAAATAATATTTCATCATAAATCTTAGCCAAAATTTATTCCGTTATTTTTTTAGTAAAAAAAAAAAATCCAAATTAGTTTATAACCAAAAATTATAATTTTTAAACATTTTTTTTACATTTTATTTTATTTTTTTTTATATTATTATTTTTTTTTTTTATTTTTTTTTTTTTACATACTGTCACCCTAGCAGTACACTGTCACCATGGTGACACTGTACTACTTGTGGAGGGTGATGAAGATTTTTTTTTTTTTTTTTTTTTTTAGACTGATTGCTTTTACACCCATATAGGATGTAAAAGAAATCATTTCTCTTTCTCTCTGTC